TTGGAACGCTATGTGGTTAATAAAAATCTGACACCCCTTGTGCATTTCTGAAATATTTTGCCTAATTTGGGGGTTTCAGCTATCAATAAGAGTGCAGAGTAAGCTTCATGTAAATAATTTCTGTAGATTCCCGCTAAAATCAGCACTGGAAAATCTGCAGATTTCGTCTAGGCCTAATTATGAGATATCTTAAGATACCAGGAGCTTAAAATGAGTCAAAAAGGTTAGCAGTATAATTTCTCCTTTCAGTGGTCTTACTCTTCTTCCTGGGTGTTTTCAGGAGCTGATGATGAGTTTGGAGGCCTCTTGTCATCCAACTTGATTCTTCTGCGGAACAGACTACTGGATATCCTGCTCAAACTGCTCTTCAGCTGCAAAGAGAAGAACATTGTTAATGCACAGTGAGCCTTATTAAATCAAGGGTGGATTATTAGACTTCCGAGAGCTGCACTGCATTTTACAGCATCTGTAACATTGTTACCTAAGCTTGCTGGTTTAGGGCTGTTATCTGGGATTGGATACAGATGGAACTAGACACTTTGGATATGTGCAGCCCAAGTGCTTTTATCTATTATCAGTGCACTCAGTATTTTATTTATTTTTGTGTATATGAAAAATGTCAAAGTGCACCATTTAATTGTCTGTAAATAAAGCCTCATAACGTAAAACATTATAAACCAAATTTGTAAGATTTACTTTTATATTAATCACCCCACCACTAAATTTTTCTTTCTGCTAATTTCCGCAGGGCTTGTGAAGAGCTTGTGCGCACTTTGGGTTTTGATTGGTTGCTGATGTTTATGGAAGAACACATTCACTCCAGCACAGTGACGGCTGCTCTCTTAATCTTGGTGGTGTTGATGAGTAACCAATCCATCCTGAGCCGGTTTAAAGAGGGCCTGTCGGGAGGAGGCTGGCTGGACCACACAGACTCTGTGCTCACTAATAAGATTGGCACTGTTCTGGGTGAACATGCATTTTAAGTTAAAAAGGAACTATAATTATACAGTATAACAATATGATAATAATAATAACTAGTATTGTAAAATTTAGTATTGTAAAATGATTTGTGGGGCTTTTATTTATGTTTTTTTGCTTGTACCTCCTTTCAGGTTTTAATGTGGGCCGCAGCGCAGGGGGCAGGTCAACGGTGCGTGAAATCAACCGAGATGCCTGCCATTTCCCAGGATTCCCTGTGTTGCAAACTCTACTGCCCAAACACACCAACGTTCCAGAGATCTACTTCATGCTCATGGCCCTTTTCCTCCAGCAACCAATCACAGAGCTGCCTGACAGCCTGCAGGTACATGTCAGTATGCAAACCTTTTTTCCCTACTAATCAAACTTGAATGTCTTCACTGTGTCTTTGTTTGTATGTGTGATCTCACAATCCATATCATGTTCCACATCTCTGAGACACTATTGAAAATACTTCACATGCTCAGTTTCACCAATTTGCTTATATTATTAGTGACCTAGAAATAGTGCAGAATCTAAATCCATTTTACATCATATTCTTTCTTTCTTTTTCTTTCTTTCTTTCTTTTGTTTTTTTGTTTTTAAATTTAATTTAAATTTACATTTAAATAGGATTTGAAATCCCACATTTTCAGTGTGATCTCAAAACTTGTTTTCAACAGTTTTTTAAGGTGACATGCTCCATGTTAACTATAATACTGTTCAAAAAAATGTCTTTGCTGTATCATCCATTCATTCATGCATGCTTTATATAAATGTTTACCATCTGCCCTTGTGACTGTTTCCTGTGAGAGCATTGAAGTGTCACTCTTTTACTTTGTAAACCATTAAAAGGCATTCTTTTACTTTTTAAACCACACAATTATTGTTGAATAATTTGTTAATAATATGATTTAATTAGATTTCATAATAACTTAATACAGTTTAATAAATTGTGTAATATACATTTAATAATAATAATAATAATTAATTAATTATTATTGAGTTGTACCCATCTCCTCACACAGTTTGACCTGGACTCTATCTGGACGTTTATATTTGGCGTCCCAGCCTCCAGTGCTACAGTGGTGGGCTCCATTCACAACATGTGCACTGAAGCAGCGTTCCTGCTCCTGGCCATGCTGCGCAGCATGCTCAACCTGGTGAGTCTCCAAGCCACCATGCCTCAGAAATATGTGTCCCAGGAGCATCTGCTGACATTGGGATGATTGTTGTCATTTGGTAGTTTATCAAAGCTTTTATACTATCAGCTGATGAAGAATTCTGAATGAAATGGCAAATTAGTGACAAACTGGTGCTCAAAGTGAAATTTTTTTTTTTTAAATGGTATTATGTTAAGATGAATTGTTTTTACTGCAGAGACCTAGAAATACAGGTTATTCTTGTGACCGCAGGCCCTTTAAATAAGCTCACAGCACAAGCTGACATAGCTTTTGATATTTCTCTTTATCTAACCTGCAGCCTTGGCAATCAGAGGAAGAGGGTTCCTGGCTGAGAGAATATCCCATCACTCTCATGCAGTTTTTCCGTTACCTCTATCACAACATCCCAGATCTGGCACCCATGTGGCACAGCCCGGACTTCCTGTGTACACTTGCTGCTACAGTTTTCCCCTTCAATATACGGCCCTACTCTGAAATGGTATGCTATTGTTCTCTTTGTTTGTTATTGTAACTGGCTTTTGGGTGCTCAGGCCTTTGAGAATTTGTCCTTTTGATGTTCAAGTCGCAGTTGGTTGTGTAGATGAAAAATGACTTGTTTTCCTCAGGTGAGTGATTTGGATGATGAAGCAAGCTCTCCCACAGAAGAGTTCAAAGCCTTTGTGACGGATACAGGCATGAACCGCAGCCAGTCAGAATACTGTAATGTAGGCAATAAAACCTACCTGACCAACCACCCAGCCAAGAAGTACGTCTTTGACTTCATGAGGGTCCTCATCATGGACAACCTGTGCATGACACCTGCCAGCAAACAGACCCCCATCATTGATCTTCTGCTAGAGGTGAGATCATTTCAGATATCTACTCGAAATGAACATTTCATTTTGTTGCCAGTAATGTTACCTGAAGCTACAGAATTTCTGTAGTGCGTGTCGTTCTAGCTTTCTTTTCTATCGCCCTGCAGCGCTTTGCATGCTGCTAATTAGAAGCTAATGTGGGAGTGTCCATCTGTTGGGCAGAAACACTAACTTTGCTCTGTGTATTCAGGCCGCACCAGAGCGCTCCACCAGAACCCAGCAGAAGGAGTTTCAGTCCTACATCCTGGACAGTGTGATGGAGCAGCTTCTGGCAGCAGATGTTCTGTTGGGTTAGTTGCATCCCAATCATCAGGTTTAGTTCAGGGAAATGCTTTGGTACAGTGTTTTAGCCAAAAATGAAAATGCTGT